ACGTGTAATCTGTAGCACGGCAATGAACTTCTAGCCTTTTCATGCAAATGAGCATACCGTTCATGGAGGCACGCGAACCGAAACCCCCACACTATCCCCACAGAAATTTGCAGCAGGTGTCTGCATGTGGTAGCAACGAAGGAAGTAAGCTCAAACCCCTAAACACCAAACTCGGTATATAAGCCGAAACCCAAACCCCTAAACCCTAAACCTCAAACCCCTAAACCCCAAAACCAGTCTACCCCCCACCTGACCCCTAAACCATATAGATCCCTTTAAAGGGAATCCTACAAAAGACCATGTAAGCCCCTTTACAGGAACCCCTTCAGCCAGTCTACCCCCGCACCTGCCAAAGGGTCCTGGGGTCCGAGGAACCCGCGGATCTTGGCCGCCAGGTGTGCCTTCAAAGGTCTCAAGGCTGCATCGACACCTTGGGTTGAGGGTTCAGGGGTCTAGCGGCTTTGGGTATAGGATTTGAGGGTCAAGGGCTTGAGTGGTTATCAAGAATTGGATGATGCTGACAGTGGTTATGATGACAATAGTTCCGCTGGCGGCGACGCCAATCACACAAGCGGTGATAACAACGGCGAGGTGAAGAATACTGACGACAAACATGATGGCGGCCATGATGATGATGATGATAATGGTGGTGGTAGCGGTGCGGTACAAGCAGCTTGTTGTGGTGGCGATGATATTGATGATCAATACCGTCCATCCTCTGTTTCGGGAATCTTCGAACGAAGATTGAAATGGACCAGGTCGTCATGATAGTATCTGGTGAGGTGGTGGTTGTGGTGGTGGTGGTGGAGGAGGTAGTGGTGTTGGTATGCGCTGCTGGTGGTGGCGGCGGCGGTGGTGGTGGTGGTGGCCATGCGGCGATGCATTCCCCTTTTGTCTTCAATCATGCCGCACGTTCGTCTGCACCTGGGTCCGCCATTCGTTGCTGAAAAAGCGTTCTTGCCATTGGTGTTGGCAATGGTTGTGATTGAAATGTCGCTGCTGCTGCTGCTGATGCTGGCTACCATTGCTGCCGCTACTGCCGTCTTCGGCGCCCAAAAGTTACTGATGTTGGTAGACCATCGTCGGTGTTGTCGTCCTGGGGTGCTGCTGCTGCTCTTCCTGACGTCGTCGGCTTGTGAAAGGCTGCCCTGAATGTGATAAAGAGTGTGCTGAAACCCGAGCCGCGATGGTCGTGAGGATGGGGCAGTGACTATCACAATGCTGGTGGTCAGTGCTCATGGTCAGAATTCTCTCAGCCGCTAGTATCGGATAGGACCATCCTTTCGTTTCACCTTTGCCCAATAACTTTGCCATCAAGCTCCAAGCTGCTTCGAGAGATGTCCATCATCAGCTCATCGGCGAAAGCTTGCGTGCCCGGCTCGCATCTGACTTTCCGAGGTCCCGTGCTGCCTTTGCCCTTGCCCTTTCCCTTCTTCTTTTTCTTCGATGTGAGACTGAAGCCCCCATCGTCCTTCAAAGTCAACCCTATTGTGTCCACGTACCCAAACAGTATCCGTTCTGGCCTTAAAGTAGTCCCTATATAGGTACTTTGGGTCCAAAGTAGGTACTACGTGGGTACATGGACACTTGGGGCATAGCTTAACATGAAGTGCCAAGCAAAATGACGACAGCAAAGCTGTCTCCGCATCCAATTCTTAACCTTCACACCCACACTGAAAACCTTCATTCCTCCCAGCCCCAAACTATTACTACTATTACTACTACTATTAATTGTGATTAATTACTAGTCTTATGATCCTTATGAAATAGCCTCAAGCCCTATTGAAAATCATCTCCGGCTTTGCTTGGCTCAAGAGCTTCGTCCGTAGCTCCTCCACGGTTCCGGGTGGCTGGAGGGCGGCTTTCTCAACCTTCGTGATCACCTCTGCCTTGGTGATCTCGGACTCGTCCTCACTGGAGTCCAATGCAGCGAACATGGCGACCACTCGGGGATAGAAACCCAGCAAGTGGCGTGAGAAGTTGCACAAGGATCCTAGATGCGAAAACCTCCGTAAGGTGTTGCTTGAGATTGACCAACCCTGAAGCAATCAGGAGGCTGATGCTGTGCCCAATGTGCACAACTACCAGCATGCATGTGCACGAACCAGCAGCTTGATACCAAATGCTTCAGAAGCCATGCCGCAGTGTGACAACCAATCGTACCCAGAGCGCGACTCCCCACTACTTATGAAAGCCGGAGAACACGGGCCACAAGCAGGGAATGTGGGTTGGGATATGGTGGCTTCCCACGCCCCCCCCAGACCTTCCCAAACCCCGTAGTTCAAGGACTATCCCGTCGTAGGATCCTCCAAAATGAATACAGGGAACTCCAGACAGTTGGAATATGGTTTCATGGTAGGATACCCTATAATTTACCATAGAAGGGTCTAGGATAATCATATTCCAACTTTCTGGCTTTTACCTTACCCCAAGGGTCCAAGTACCCAATAATCATATACTCTCCAGAATGCTAACCTACATAACTACTATCCTAAAACCGAGTACCTAATTATTGGGTCCTTTGGACCCATGGGGTTACAGGTTTAAATTCCTTGATGGAAACCCTCAAAGGGGCCCTTCAAGGCGCCTCAAAGGTTCCTTGTAGAGTTCGGGTTTAGGGTTTAGGGTTTAGGGTTTAGCGGTTTAGGGGTTTCAGCACTCACACTCGGACAAGCCTTGGCGAGGTTCTCTGGTCCCATGACAGGCACATGTGGGTTTAGGGGTTTAGGGTTTAGGGTTTAGGGGCGGTAAGGGTTGCTTTATGATTTAAAATTAAGGGAAGTCTAAATCCTAAACCCTAAAAGGTAAAGGAACCTCCCAAAAAGCTTCTAAAGGAACCCAAAACTTTGAACCCTACCAGGAACCCCCCAAAAAATGTCCGTTTAGAGGGAGGCCGAGCTTCGTTTCACACCTAACACTAAACCCTAAACCGTGGCTCGCAAAATCAGGAGCCGTCGCTTCAGGGAGGTATGTTTTGACGTGCTGGCTCTCACTTCTGAAAGTTTCAGACTGAAGATACTAGGTTGGCCCTTGAAAGCCTCTGAAAAATGTCCGTAATAGGGTCCTATGAAGCCCAATAAGAAAAATTTAAAATGTCCCAAAAGGCCTACCTGGGATACTGTAGGAACCTGATTAAGATACCTTGGGCCTTTGTTAGGGTTCCTTATATGAAGCCGTCAAAGGGTCAGGGTCTCTTCATCAGGTCCCTACATCACCCGCCTTTTGAGGACCTAAGATATGGGGAAATGGATTACGGGGACAATTCTTGGTGATTTTTGAGGGGCTGCTATAGGGATCCATTCCCCCCTTCCCTACCCAGCACCAGGAGACTATTCTTTACCGGGTCTTCGGAGTGGACCAGTTTTGAGGCGCGGCATGAGTCTGGAATGATTTCGTTCACGGCTGGGATAGGATTAGAAGTGCACATTTTATGCCATATTGGGTTTACGCAACCATCAAGATGTAAAGCGTTAGCAAGCTATGACAAAGTGATGTGATAATCCGGACTATAAGGTGTCTTCTGTGCTTTGAAGTTCCGGAGGTCACCCAACAACACGGTTTGAGACTTTCCAAGGTCGATGCTTTGGGCTTTGGGGTTTACGGTTCAGCGGGTTTAGGGTTTATAGTTTAGAGGTTTAGGGTTATGGGTTTAGGGTTCATAGTTTAAGGGTTTAGGGTTCAGAATCTATAGGGTTCAGGGAACTCATAGGTTACCCCTCAGTCGCATAGAGTGCCTTAGCGTCCATGGGTGTGTCTGGATTCTAAAAATAAACTTCCGATAAGTATGAATATACCGTTCTGCTTCTTATATAGATACACCGGAGCATCCCTCCAAACTCCGAATACTATACCAAAGCCCATCCCTGGAAGTTAGCCTACAGTAAGGTGGGAGCTACAATAAATCGAACAGGGTTTTGACGGGTACATTAATTAAGCATAAGTACCCAAAGCAACCCAATCACAATAGGGTACGCTAAAAACCCTAATCACAATCAGGAACCCGAAGGCAGCATTGGTGACTCTAGTGGTCCAGCATCCTAGCGAAACTTGAGGTTAACCCTTGAGACGCCAGCGTACCACCCCCCCCCCCCCCCCCCCCCCCCCCAAAAAAAAAAAAAAAAAAAAATGTTAAAGGCTACCCACTCTACTACTATAAACCCTAAACCCTGAACACCTCAACCCTAAATGCCCTAAACCACTCTCTCATATAGTACTTTATAAACCTTTTATTAATGAAATTCGTCGGCAAGGCCCAAGGGCCCGAAATTTCGTCGGCAAGGCCTGGAACTTTCGTCCGGCAAGGCCCGAAACTTCGTCGGCAAGGCCCGAAACTTCGTTAGCAAGGCACGCTCCATTTCTGGATGGTTTGGGCTTAAGCTTCGGCCTTAGGGTTTGGGCCTTAGGGTTTGGGCCTTAGGGTTTTGGCCTTGGGGTTTCGGCCTTAAGGGTTTAGGGCCCAAGGTTTTGGGCTCTAAAATTATAAAACTAAGCTGTGCGTCTAATAATGAATAGAATATAAATAAGAATATATATATATATATATATATACCTACATACATATATATATATATATATATATATATATATATATAGTGTTTTAATGTGTTGGGCGTCTTTGGTGGGTGGGCATTAAACGTAGTCGGACCTACGAGCTCGACTGGAACCTGCTCGATCCGTAGCTGCTGAACCCCGAAACCCCAAAACCCTGAACACCAAAACTCTAAACCCAAACCCTAAACCCTAAACCCTGAAACCCCAAAACCCCAAAACCCTGAACACCAAAACCCTAAACCCTGAACCCCTGAACCCCAAAACCCTGAACCCCTAAACACAAACCCTGCCTTAGTCTCCATTGTAGTTCCTTTTTTTGGTTGACCAAAAACTACATTATAGGATCCAAACTATAAAACTGGTTAACCAGAAAAGGGAACTACAATGGGGACTATAGGCAAACCCTATAGAGTTGTTTTCATAAAGCTGCTCCGCAGTGGACCACTGGCCTTCAGCTGCGAGACCTCCGTCTCCACCTGCACGGCTTTCTTTTGGGGGTTTTGGGTCGACAGGGTTTAGGGTTTAGGGGTTTAGGGTTTACGTATTAGATCTAGGATTTAAGGGTTCAGGGGTATAGGGTTTAAGAGCTACTGCAAGGGTGCGGAGGTTGGCTTTCCGGGTCTTGAGTGCAGTATTTGAAGCGCTGTTATCACCTTCAGGGCACTGCAAGAACTTCGGGTGCAAGGCAAACGATGCCACGCGCCCTAAACAGACCTACTTCTGTGGCAGTGCAGACAGCAACTCGCGCTCATATTAAATTCGAAAATCGTGGGGACCTTATTATACACTGCACCGGCATCCAAGATTTAACATTTAACCAAACCGGACTAATTAAACCCTGCGGATTCTGGGGGCTCCCCGATGGTCCAGCAGAAGTAATGTAGAGGCCTGAGTTAACAATTTGAATAGGGTTCTGGGGCCAACTATACTGTTTTCATTAAAAGAGAAACCTGGGGAATAATATGGGAGTTTCCGAAAATTAGGGGTACCTTATTTTGGGGTCCTTATAATAAGGATCCTACTATTTAGGGTCCCATATAAAGGTCCCCTATTTTGGGAAACTCCCAAAGCTTCTATCGTAGGGTGCTTAAGGGAGGTTCAGAGGGGCCCGGGGCTCGAGCATCAGAGGAGACCCAAATCCGAAAGCTCAAATCAAAAATCATTCAATTTTCAATCCAGGCTACTGTTTTAGACGAGAAGCATGCTTAGAGGATCATGGGACTTAGTAACTAGGGTTATGATTAGGCGGCTAGCTATACTTATAGCTAGTTATAACCCCAACTGAGGTACTTATAACCTTACTTACTAACTAAGTCCCATGATCCCAAGTAAGCCCGTCTCAACCCTGTAGCCTGATTTTAGGGCATGGTGGCTTGGGCTCAGGACTGCAATTGTGAGTGAGCTCGTCTTCGTAGCGCAAAGTGGGTACGATTGAGACACTTCGGAAGCCAATTATGTACTATCTATAGGCTTTTGGATCAAGGTAGGTAGTATATGTATACCTGGAGCCTTAGGGTTGCGGCACCACAAACAAGCACGCAAATCCTCAGCAGAAGCCCAAAAATTCCCTCAACCCAAAATGGCCAACATCTTACACGGCTTCGGGCTGAGGGTTAGGGTCTAAGGTTCAGCTCACGGCCTTCGCGTTAATTACGGGGATGCAACCGAAGTCGCAACGACTTGACCCCCAAACACCCAGCTACCTACACAGGAGGGTGCTGTCTTTTGCCGTATACCCCGACTCTACAGTGTCGTAACTGATTGTGCTAGGAAAAAGGGAAGCCACTATTCCTCTGGACAACATGTGGGATGTCACTACAGGGGTTGTGCCTGGCTGAGCACGGCCTTGTACAAGGATCTCGGAATGCTGAGCTCCTGCCAGATTTATAAAACTAGTAATAGTTAGATGTAACAGTCATAATAGCAACACTAGTATTAATAACAAAAGGGATAAAAAACATATGACCTACAGGCGGCAAAACGTGGTGTCTGATTCGTGATTAATAAACTCCCTTCCCTTCGAGGCCTTCACTGTGACTCGGGGGTGGGGGGGTGAAGCGATGTGTTGCTGGGAAAGTGGTTGAGAAAAATGAGTGGGAAATGGGGCTTTGGTGTCTGTGCGGGGGTCTATGTGCGGTGCCAATAGCCTAAAATAGGCAAGGCACGCTCTGACTTTTTTCTCCCGAGGAATTTTAAACCCTATAAGCCCTAAGCCCTACGGTTCTGTTCGAAGGAGTCAAATCATTCTTTTCTAGACCCAAGAGTAACCTAGGACGAAACAGGGTGCCCTTCTTGGTTTAAAAAGGTGTTACAAGGGAACTCACCTAAACTCTAAAAAGGGAATAAGGGCCTGCTCTGGGTCCTAGCCTATACTACCCTTAAAGGCACCCCTAAACCCCTAAACCCTATAGGACCCTTAAAGGAACCCCTAAATCCCAAACCCTAAACCTAGATCCTCGTTGGGCCGGGCGCCTGGCGAGGAGTCGCCTCGAAGACGGCGAATCCCCAAAGCCTCACTCCCAGATTTTTCAAATCTTTTTTGGCTTTGCAGGGTGTAGGGGCGGTTTTAAGGTTTAGGATGAAGGGGTTAGGGTTTAGGGATTTAGGGTTTAGGGGCTTAAGGTTTAGGATGAAGGGGTCAAGGTTTCGGGATTTAGGGTTTAGGGGTTTAGGATTTAAATCAAAGGCTTAGTGCTTGGGAGGAAGTCGGGAGTCTGCGTCTTTAGGTGTTCAGGAAGTTTCACCTCGTTTTGTGGGTCTTCAACTACCTTCGAGCCCCCTTTGAAGCCCCCTTAAAGCCTCCCTTCGAAGCCCGGTGTAAGGCCCCTTCGAGAAGCTATGGATCTGAGAAATTTCGGAGGGGTAGTGTTCCGGAGCTTCGAGTCTCGTGAGTTGTCGAGCTCTTCGGGTTTGATACAAGCTGGCTTCTTGCTAAGGGGTTTAATTTAAGCCACCCCTAGGGGGTCCATGTGCCCAAATCGTATATACCTTGGCCAAGTAGTCCCTTTTGTGTGCTTTGGGCTAAAGTATACTATTTGGGTACATGGACCCTTAGGGTACCATAATAAGGAAACCATGCTATGTCATTTACTATAGATCCCTTTTCTGGTAACTTAAGTAAAATCCCCACTAAGGGGGCCTTCATAGTTAGAAGAGGGCTCTGGAGGGTCCATTATCGTCCAAGAGTAACGGAATTATCGGGGCTTCAGGATTAGGACCATGTCAGCTTGCTAAACCTCGGGCACCGCACTGAGGCCCCCAAGTCAGTGAAACCCTAAGCAAAGAAGCACTCTCTCTAAACAATAAACCCCTCCCCCCAACTATCTCTTATTGGAGCCCAAGTATCCACTACTAAAGACCATAAGGTCTCTGTTAAAGGATTCTTGGGCCGGGGGGGTGCTGGAACATGAAGCCCCAACCTTAAGTAGGCATCCACAGGTAGGATGAAGATAGGTGGGGTAATCCCAAAACCAGAGTCCTTGCATAAGGGATCCTTCATCCTACCTACCTTCATCCCACGTTTTGAAGCATTCGAACGCCCAAACCCTAATTCAACCCTCAACCCTGGAACCTAAACCCTCAAACCCTAAACCCTTAAACCCTAAACCCTTAAACCCCTATATGAACCCTTAAACCCCTGGACCCTTAAACCCCTATATGAACCCTTAAACCCCTTAACCCTAAACCCTTAAACCCCAAACCTAGGGACAGCATGGCCAGCCCCTGCGGCTGCAACTCCGTGAGATGGAGGGTCACGGCCGAGGCCAAATCCTCGCAACTTGGGAGTTTCCGAATAGGGTTTAGGGTTTAGGGGTTTAGGGTTTAGGGTTTTAAGTTTCCGAAAATTAGGTGCAATATGAGTAGGGATCTACTATAAGGGTTCCTTTAAGGGATTTATAAGGGGTTCTATAAAGGGTTTAGGGTGTAGAGTTTGCGAAAGTTAGGGTACCTGATTTGAGGTCCTTATCATAAGGATCCTACTATTTAGGGTACTGTATTGGGGTCCCCTATTTTCGAAAGCACCTGGGCCCGAAGACATAAGTGGTTTTCGGGGTTTAGGGGTTTGGGGTTTAAGGGTTTAGGGGTTGGTCTAGGGTTGAAAGGTTTAGGGGCTTTAGGGTTTTAGGGTTTCATTAGCGGACCTAACAATCCTAGAACCTCATGAGATAAAGCCACGGCAAACCCAACGCGACGTTCTACTAGTGGTTGGTGCCTGAGACTTGTGGAGTTCATGGCTAGGTCAGGCTGTTTCATAAGGCGTTTCGGGATGTCAGTTAGGGCTTCAGGAATTAATTAGGGTTCAGGGTTGAGGCTTTTCGGCTTTGAAGTGCTAGGATATGCTAGCTGAAGGCGGAAACACCTGGTCCGACTCCTTGCAAGACAAACGATGGAGACATTGCACCAATGATGCCCGTTCCAATGCAACGGGCACCGATACAGCGCCACTTAGATGATATCGACATCATACCAAAGGAAGTTCCGAAACTGCCACTGCTACAATTCCTGCGCCACGTGCTGCACCGGCTTGCAATGCCGGGCCCTAAATTATTCTGCCTCAACCTTGGCTTCGGGTAAATCTTTCAGAAACAGAGCAATCAGAAGCCTGGCTAAACCGCCTAAACCCTTTTCAGCATGGACTACCTTAAACCCTGAATCCCCCTGCATCGACAGACTAGGAGTTCGAGGGCTTCTTTTTCTGAACTAGGTGTCGGTTTCAACCAGTCGGGCTCTAAACTAAGCAATAAGGGTTTATAGGGTTTAGGGTTTAGGATTTAGGATTTAGGGTTTAGGGTTTAGGGTTAATTAACAATTACACTAGATCGATACCTAGTTAACTGTGTTTAAGAATACTACTGTTCAAGCTTGGCACTTGGCAAAGCAAGGTCGTCCAACGCTCCCTCACTTGGAGCATCATGGGACTTAGTAAGTAAGGTCATAAGTACCTTAAGTGATGGGGGTACCAGTAGCTATAAGTATAGTTACCCTGGTCATAACCCTAGACACTAAGTCCCATGATCCCTAAACCCTCAACCCTAAACCCTCCCTCAAGCTATTATTTCCCACAGGCTTCTTGGGAGCTCGCCCGGTTAGTTCCCGCGCATTGCAGTCGTGGCGAGAGCTAAGTACTCAAACCTAAACCCCGAAATCCCCCCAATATAGGGGCCTTACATTATACTACAGTTTGATGCAGCAGTCCCCAAAACAGTCTTGGTAATTATTTAGGCCCCGATTTTGAATGCCCGCCGCCCCCGCCCATGTCTCATGATTGAACCGCTCCTCCAGTGGCAGTGCTGATGCCGACCGCCCTGAACGATGGGTCCAAGCCTTTGAGGTCGTTTTGGAGGCCGGGGCTTTTGGGTAAATATAGGGTTTGGGGTTTGGAGGTTAGGGCGGTTAGGGTTTATAACGGTTAGGGGTTCAAGGGTTTAGGGGTTTGGGGGTTTAGGGTTTAGGGCTTTGGGTGAAATATAGGGACCATAATAATCAACATAAGGTTCGGTGCTATGGTTTCGGGGTATATTAACCGTGTGAATATGAGTATACAGAGCCTATAAGGAAACATAAACTAGACCCAAGAGTAACCTAGGAAGAAAAAGGGTGCCCTTTTTGGTTTAAAGGGGGTTATAAGGGAACCTAAACCCTTAAAAAGGGAATAAGGGCCTACTCTGGGTCCTAGTAAATGCAAAGTATCCAGACCTCCATTCGGGCGCTGCTTGCGGGCGACGGCAGGTGCATGGCGTTAATATTTCGGGATGTTTCGCCTCTATTCGGCTTTGAGGATTCATAGTTCAGGGTTTTGGGCAGTTGTGGGGTTCAGGGTTTACGGCCTTAGGTTGAAGTTGAAGAGGACAGGCATGCAGATCATGGATTAGATCGGTAATGAACCCCGTCTCGGAATGGCACAAGGTGCCAGGCTTCACAGTGGTGGTTGCAACTAGTGTCGTCTCTGCCTGTCCTTTTGTGGAGGTCGATAGGATTTGACCGCACATGACTGCCTGCGAAACAATTCACTTCGGGCAGCCAACCTGTGAGACTGGGATCTTGTTATAGGATTTAATGTATGTTACCACAATGAGGAAACCACCGTAGTTACTACTATAGATCCCTACTATGGTAACTTAGTTTAGATCCGTTTGCGAGAACCCAGGTGAGACTGCTGCTAAGGCGGTCGACAACCTGTCACTCTTCTTCGTTGTGGATTTTTCATGTCAGGTTCTTGAGCACACACCAGCCCAATGCCAGAAAGGTGGGCGTGTGCAGATTGCGCGCAGGGGACGGAAACTCTGATATCTATACTGAACTTAGAACCCTAGCAAAAATTATAATTTGAGCTGTTTCTTAGGGATTATAATAACCAAAAATTAAAAATTATTTCCAAGTACGCCCATGTGATATGGGTCTAGGATGCCCTGGGTTCGATGGGCTCGATGAGGGATCGAGGCTTCATTGGCCGCAATATCTATTCACTTACTTGCTGAGTTCATAAGCCTCCCAAAAGTGTACACTTTTAGCATGATAGTGGGTAATATTATCACAAAAAGTGTAAAGTGTATCCACTCAGCTACTAAGTTCATATTTGGCAGGGTGCACGGAAACCCTGAACCTTCTGAAGTGTGCAGCCTTCGCAACCCTCATATGGGGGTTTCCGAAAATTAGGGTCGCCTTTTGGGTACCCTAAATACTAGGTGCCGTATTATAATAGGGACCCAAAAAGGGACCATAATTTCGACAACTACCCAGTCATGCCACCAGCGCCCAGACGAGAACCGGCAGGTCCCGGCCGCTGGCCGTAGCTATACCGAGGGTGGCAGCGCGATGGAAGATGCTTTCCAACAGGGCCTTCAACCGGGTTCGGTGTTGGCCTTAAGTGGTTTGAGGGGTGTGTGCTTCAAGCTTCTATAGTCGAAGGCCTAGGCTTTAAAGCTTAATTAGCAGTTTCGGGCCGTAGGGTTGAGGTATTGCCTTATGGTCTATTACAAATTATATCATACTAAATTCCATTATCTCATGTTCATTCGAGTCTATTCCAACCAAAACCCTGAACCCTTACGAGCATCTTCCATCAAGATAGTTGCTGAGTTCATAAGCCCCCAAAATGGTGTACACTTTTACTTTTATAGTGGGTAATACGGTTGATGATATAAATCCTGCATTACCCATAATAAGGAATATACCATAAATCCCGTAGTTCAGGGTCCTTCAGGTAATGCAGGATTTATATCATCAGCAGTATGCTCCCCAAAAAGTGTAAAGTGCAATCCACTCAGCTACTAAGTCAAGGATTCCTTCTGGGAGTCCCTGGCTCCCCGATCCTCCCGAACCTTAACCAGGCATGGTTAAGTTAAGGCCCCTTTACCAAATCCTGATGATACCCCTTATAGTAGCCTTATAGACCCCTTTTAAAGGGAACCCTCAAAAAGGTTACATACACCTACTTGTCGGGTATCATGTGGAACTAAAGGTTAACCTCTTTGGTTATGGTTCAGGGTTATGGTTTAGGGTTTAGGGTATCATGGGGAACTAACAAAGGGTAACTTTTTTGGCTATGTAGGGATCATATGGATGGTTGTCAAAACTGGGGTCCCTTTTGGGTCCCCATTATAATACGGCACCTAATATTTATGGCACCCCCAAAAAGGGGCCCTAATTTTGACAACCACCCATATAGGGACTATACTACCCAAAAAAGGTTAAAGGTTGCCTACTGTACTACTAGATTACAAAGGCGCCTCCAGGCTGGTTTAGGGCTTTTTTTCCCTCTCGCATGGCTGGATGGCAATGTCCGCTCGCGAGGTGGGCTTAGGTTTAGGGGTTAAGTTTGAGGGCATAGGGTTTACAGGGTTTAGGTTCAGGGGTTTAACGTAGGGTTTATATGGTTTAGGTTTAGGCGTTTAAGTTTGAGGGCCTAGGGTTTATAGGGTTTAGGTTTAGGGGTTTAAGTTTGAGGGCCTAGGGTTTATAGGGTTTAGGGCTTCCGTTGCTTTTTCGAGCTCCGTTTTATCCGCCTGCAGCTATGAGGCCGGGCTTAAGCCTTAGGTTTTTAGGTTTGAGGGCGTAGGTTTAGGGTTTAGGTTTTATAGGGTCTAAAGCATTTAGGGTTTAGGGTTTCTGCAAGGGTTCTAAGTAATTACTCTGCTGGGGGATACTTCCCGCATCAAAATCGAAGTTCCGGATATAGAACAGTCTACTATGTAAGTACTTAGGACCCTTCGGGTGTATGGCTTAAACCCCACCTCTTCGACCCTACTAACCCAGAGAACCCAACACCCCTTAATGAAGGAATACACCTTAAATGACAGAGGCCTTAATACTATGATTCAAGGTATATCCGTTAATCAAGGAATATGCCTTAAATTATAGAGGCCTTGATACACTTATATAAGGAAATCAAAATAAGGAACCCTAATAAGGTAGATGATAATTAAGGAACCCTAAAAAGGTAAGTCTTTTCGGCTACAGGTAGGGCTTGAACCCCACCTCTTCGACCCTCTTACTTCCCCAATAAGAGACAAAAATGAAAGGTCAAACTTTCCGATTCCTACTAAACTACAAGAAGCCCAAAAGTTTAAAGGTTGGGTATTGGGGATCTAAGTTAAGATCCCTTAGAGGAACCCTTATAGATCCCTTTAAAGGAACCCTATAGAACCTAAGGATCCCTTTAAAGGATCTAAGCTTCTGGTATCGGGTAGGTTTATAAGGAACCTAGGACTACAAAAAGGGAATAAGGGTACTACTGGGCATCCTAGGCATGTTGGGTATTGGGGATCTAAGCCCTACTAAGCTGGAGGCCTCGGTCGTCGACTGAAGCTCCGGCAGCGCATCCTGAGATTCTCTGTCCAAAGGGGGCTTCATATAAGGGCTCCTTCAAGGGTCCCTTTAAAGGGATCTATAGGGATTCTATAAGGGTATTTTTTTGATCAGTGATATAAAGATATAGGGTTTAGGGTTTATTTGGAGGTTCATGTGTAGCTATAAGTGGGGTTATAAGTCCCCTAATATGGGTTATGAGTATAGTTACCCTACTTAGAACCCCACCCAGAACTACCCATGATCCTCCAAGTATAACATTTCGTGCAGGATCTTTTCGAGGGGGCGTATGTCATAGCAGCATGCATACACATATGTATGTATACATACAAACGAAAAGAACATACATATCCATAGGAAAACAAATATACAGACACATAAATATGCATACACACAATGTATATGCATAGTCAGACTCATACTCAGACGCCTATTTATACATGTATATACACAGTTGAACCAAAGGAAAGTTCATAATTTCGAACTATTCCGACCCCTTTTCTCCATGATGCTGAAAGCTCATTTTGCAGTGGGACGATAGCACAAATGAGAAGGAGTTATCCTCTTTTGGCAAGGGTTCTACCTTCATTGGGGTGATGTAAGGGCTGCGTCTGCGTATTATAACCCTGAAAAGGCTATGTTGGGGCTTGGGGGAGAAGTGGAGAAGGCCAGTTGGGAGTAAAGCTGGGAGTGGGTTGGGGGGGGGGAGTTTGGAGCTGCTTGCAGCTCTTCAGGACTGAGTTGTCCTTTAAGGCCTTTGAAAATTATTTACTATTTTGGTTCTCTACAAAATAGTAGGGGAAATTAAACAAGATCCAAAGCACAACCCAGAGTACCTAGCCTGGGGTGTGGGGTGTGGGGGTCCGGAAGAATCATTTTGAACGAGACAGCTACTGGCCCCAGACCCTCAGACCCTCAGGGGCTTTCAAGTGGGAGGCCCACAAAGAACCGGGATAGGTCTTGGTGCCGGCAGAATGGAACAGGGGGGCCGCAATGAGCAAGAGAGTGCTATATGGAGTTTGAGAGGATCCGAAACATTTTTTTTTTTTTTTTTTTTTGGGGGGGGGGGGGGGGGGGGGTGGCGCTCCTATTTAAGTTGCAGCCTCCTGCTTGATCTCCCTGCTCTTTTCCACATCGCCCAAGTGTCTGCGAGGCGGCATGCTGCCCAGGCCAGATTTGTGAGACTGTGCCATGAGGTTGCAGCAGGCACCTTCGCAGAATCTATGACAGGTGGAGGTTTACTTCGTTCCCGTTTGTTTTGAAGACCCCAAGTCAATATACAAAAGCAAAGAATTTACAAACAAAGCTGTATATGACCCAAGAGTCAGTGTCTTATCGCTTGGGAAACCCTAAGGAACCACCGGTCGCGGCCTTTGCCGACGAGTAACTACCCCGATCCTGGTGAAGAAAACAGGAACACAAGAGCTGAAAGCTTGGCTTCGAGCACAAATTCGGGTTGCCCTTAACTCTACAAACCCCCTACAAAACCCTTACGGAAAGGCCTATGAACCCCAAAGCCCTATAAGATTAACTGTATATAGATTTCAGGATCCAGACATCAATGCTGCAGAAGCGAGATGCGAACAAGCTCTGCTATCGGCTAGTCTTGTCTCCCGTAGGCTTGAGGGAGATGCAATAGTCGTACTCGCTGCAGGAAAGTGAAGAGAGAAAACGTCACTTGTCTATACTCTCCTTAGAACCATATAATCGAAATATTTTGTCTTAATAATCTCTTTGATTTTATATGAACAGACATTTAAAAAAAGTCCTGAGGAGACTATAGTGTATCAAGGCAGGAAGTGAACCGGAGCACTGGGAAACGGCTTTTGAGTTCAGGCTGGGGGCTTCGGGCCTGAGCAGAGGGTTTAGGGCTTAAGGTTCTCAACAACATGTCCCAACGGCATGCTGCAAAATGCCACTGCCTGCAGCCATGTCAGCAGTCAGAGAATAAGTAACGTGAGATAAACCCTCCGTACGCTCAGCTCCAATACCCTGACGGGCTTCAGCCTCAGTATTGTGTAAAGCAAATGGCCCTTCGTCAGCGTACTCCTTACGTCCCTAAACCCTAAACCCAAAACCCTGTTGCATCCAAGATACAAAGTCTTTGCCAGCGACGCTGCACAGAGTCCTCGGTCGGTCGAACCCAGAGTCCGCTCGGGGCTGGGCAAGTTCTGTTTTCTATGCATACGAAAAACGTATGTTGCCGAAGCCCGATATAACTTCAGCTTATTTTATACTGTAAATATACACGTATACAGTATACACATACATACATGCATGCATACATACATATACATGCCACATGGAACTAAACCTTTCCGCGCAGATCGGGAGCCATTGCCACCAACTGGTCCCATCAAATCCCCTAAGCAATGAACACGGTTTCGGGTTTAGGCTGTACGGTTTAGGCTTCAGGTTCGGAGCACACCACAGCTGGGGCTCGAGTTTAAACGAGCCACCCGTGAACGCGAAAAGCCACAAGTGTCTTAGGCACCCACAAGAGCTTCGCGGAGAGGGTAGGATGACCTGGCCAGCAACTATGATGACCAGAACAATGCTTATGACGACAACGGCTACCTGCTTATGATGCTGCAGCCGGTGCTGTTGCTGACGCTGATACGGCAGCTGTTGCTGTTGCGATGCTGCTGGAGTACAACAACGACCAGTACTTGCTACCAGTACTCCCCCCGCCTCCTGCTGCTGCCACTGCCACTCTTCCTACTACTTCTCGCGCCACTTCTAAAGCTATGTGCGATTAATTACTTCGACAGCGCTTCCAATGACAAAGCACCCTCAGTCGACGGCTCGAGTTACAGCAAACAGCTGCATGAATGACCCTCCTTTCAAACTTAATGTCATGAGACTGAACAGTGCAAGAAGCATCATAGCGACCTGCAATAATACGGGGTAGCACTAATAGCGGTCATCCACAATGCTTTTGGCCGTAGCAGTCTACAACATCCGACTCAACAAAAGGTGTCCGTGGTGGATGGATGTAACAGGCATCATGTTCAGCGTCACCCACTATCAACGCGGGTAGCAGGTTTTCGCGGACCTTCGTCCATCTTCGCCAGCCGTCCGAGGCACACCACTACCTGAGGATTATTTTTGATCAGGGTTCCGATTGAGGGACGGTGGAACGCAATGTGGAAGCCCGAGTAATCACAACATTCCCGAGGTGTCCTGCTTAGACTTGGAGTATAACGGACCCCCAACTCCCCTTCTCCGTATCCAGGCCCCAAAACGTGCTGACGATGTATGAGCCTTTGCAGTGTGTGACAATCTCACGAGGTCTCTACAGCTTTGTAGAGCTGTAGAGCTTTGTATAGCTCCATCAGACTGCAAGTTGTGCAGGGCTCGAGGAGTGTGGGGCAGGACGCTTTCGGTGTATACGTTGGGGAGTGCAGCTCGGGGTTACTTGGAGGTTCATGGGTAGTTATAAGTAGGGTTATAAGGCCCCTAATATGGGTTATAAGTATAGTTACCCTACTTATAACCCCACTTATACCTACCCATGAACCTCCAAGGAAGGCTTCAGAGAGCTCGGGCCGAACCCGAAAGTTCCCGGCCCTGAGCCCGTAATGCTGGCGACAACGGCGCAACTACTATGAGGGCCTTAATAATTAGAATAGGGTTTTGGGGCCCAGTGTACTAGAAGTATACTAGGGAACCCCCAAAGTAGTATAGGTGGATTATTTAAGCCCCTATAGTATGGCGATTGAGGGTCCACCTACATGCGTGGTTGTCAAAATCATGGTCCCTTCTGGGTACCTAATATAGTACGGCACCTAATGTTTAGGGTACCCCAAAACGGACCATAATTTTGACAACCACCCAGAGAACTTTATCGCACACCTGTCGCACATGAACAGCATGACCCAGAAAACCGACACTCGAAACCTCAGGGGCCTTAAAGCCTTATACTGCTGCAAGGTGCGTTCGTGAAGTCCATCTCATCGGCTTTCTTGGAAGCCATGTCCTCCCACTCTCGGCCGCTGTCGGTGCGGGGAGTGTCCGTCTACTCATCCAAGGATTCCGGTGCTACTCTGGAAGAAATTGCAAACCTAGCTCGACATCCATGTACCACAACGGCAACAACATCGAGCGCAGCACCACATGCAGCAGACACCACGACTGATTACAGTCATGGTGCTGATAACAAGAAAGATGGCACGGTGCAGTTGGTGGCTAGTGGAAAATACACACATGCTGTAGCATTGACATCTGAAGCTGTGAGCACTAAGCCGTGAAACCCGAACCGTAGCTGCAAACCCTACGTACTCTAACCTGGTAGAGCATAACTCTTTGCAAGGTCTCAGCCTAATCCCCAGCGCTATCGAACTTACAGGGGTCCTAGGAAACTGAATATGGCGGTAGGTAAACCCTCACGACTTGACCAATGCTCTTTGCCGGGGTGAGCTACCAAAAAACCCACATAAACCTCCTTATTGTGAATCAATGAAGCCGAAGGATAAGGTAGGGATATACTTGCAAATGCTTATGCTTATGTCCTTTTGACGGCCCCGAATACAATGCACCACTGGGAAATAGCTGCGATTCGCAGCAAGCAGTGTGTAAGGGATCCATAAGGGCTCTGTATGGCGTTTACATGAACTTTCACAGGATTCCCTATACTTACTCACATACAGGTCGTTGGGATAATGATGTTCCAACGTCCTGGCGGTACCCTGTAACCCGACCTAAACCCTGTTTTGCACCAGGACTTGTGCAATCGCCTGAACCGACCTACGCCCTAAACCCCCAAACCCATACATACTCCAGAACCTTCTGTAGCTGTCCCGGTCCAGAAATTCTTGGCCCCTAGCCTGCCGCAGCTGCCTGCGGCATGGTGCTCAGAGGATCAGGCTCGTAGGGTGGGAGTTCAGGGGTTTACGGTTATGGGCTTATAGGGCTTGATGTTTGCATAGTTGCTCCACGATTGCCACCATACCCACGCCTTTTCTCGAATCTTGCCTCAGACTCTGTGCACTGGCACAACACCAAACCCTGAGCCCTAAGCCCTAAACCCTCATAACCCCAATAACCCGAAGCCTTGAATCCGAATCCCTAAATCCTGAACCACCAGATCTCGGGGTATGGTGGTTTAAGGTTTAGAGTTTACAGCATCTGACTTATCGGCTTAACGCTTAGGCTTAGGGCTTGCCCTATGAGAGCCCAACTCACTCTCTCCTCTCAATATTGAACTCATTTTGCTTCTGTTCTCCGTCGTCTTGTTTATTTTCCCTCTCTCTGTCTCTCTCAGAGCTTTGGCTTTGTTTTCTCTGTCTCTCTCTCTCTCTCTCTCTCTCCCCCTCTGCGTATACAGGTATATGTATATGTATGTATATATTTATGTATGTATGTATGTGGTACATTCGTACTCGTATACATATATGCTTATGCACATAATATACATATCTGTATATACTCGCCACTCGCTCTCTCTCTCTCTCTCTCTCTCTCGATCTGTTTCTGTCCCTGTCTCTCTCTGCGCTCGGACTGCTCCTTCGGCCTTATCGCATCTTTCACTCTCACTCCCGGTATAGTGTGAAGGTTGTATAGTATATTAGCCTATATAGTACCGTACAGCAGGGCATAGTGTAGTTTCGTATAGTAACACATGACAACATAGCACAGCATAGTGTAGAATATTAAACTACAGTAGAATATAGCCGTAGTTGCTGAGTTCATAAGCCCCAAAAAGTCTACATTTTTAGTTCTATAGTGGGTAATAAAAACGTGTAAAGTGTATCCACTCAGCTACGAAGTCGCATATTCATATACGACAGCAGTAAGGAAACCCCTGTATGACTCCAATCCCTCAGCCCTCGGAGCCTTCGCCAGCCGAGATTCTATATCCTTCCCCTAGGAATAGCATAGCATAAGTATAAGCGCAAGCAGAGACAGAAGATAGATATAGCATGAAATAAAATGAGTATGAATAAAGTATGAGTCCTACCCTTTCCGCCTGTTCATGTCAACTTGCAGCTTCCGCGTCGCTTTCCGGGCAGCCCGTTCGATGTCTGAAGGACCTCGCAGGCAAAAGCACATCATAAAAACCCTAATAGAAAGCAAGACCGAAGCACTAGCTGCCTTCTTTGTACTGTAAAGGTCCAAAGCGGGCAGACAACCTTATCTAGCATGGGATTTGGGCTTCAATGGCTTCAGAAGCTGGAGATCCTGCTCCGTTAGAATAACATGGGAGTTTCCGAAAATGGGGGACCCCATAATATAGTACCCTTAACTAAGGTACCCCAAAATTTCGGAAACTCCCATAATGAACCTAAGTAGTAGGATCCTGAACATAAGGGCCCCCTAAGATACCTGTTGCGGCTGCCCTCATGTACTTAGAGGACCATGGGACTTCGTAAGTATTGTTATAAGTAAGGTAACTATAGTTATATCTACTTATAACCCCAATTAAGGTACTTATGACCCTACTTACTAAGTCCCATGGTCCTCTACTGGAGTTAAGAATAACCTAGAAATAAAAAGGGTGCCCTTTTTGGTCTAAAGGGGCTTATAAGGGAACCCGAAGCCGCCAAAAAGGGAATAAGGGCCTACTCTAGGTCCTAGTCTAAGTGTAAAGAAGCCACCTGAGGCATGGAAGCGAGGTGGCGCCGCGAAGGAAGAGCCAGGCCTGCTCAGCTGCGATGCTTTCGGAGACATATGGGCGTTTCCGAAAATAGGGGACCCTAATATAGTACCCTAAATAATAGGATCCTTATTATAAGGGCCCCCTAATTTTCGGAAACTCCCATATGGGTAGTTGTCAAACTTAGGGTCCCTCCCCTACAAGCCTTAAACCCTAAGCCCTAAACCCCGAGACCTAAACCCTACATGGGGGGTTGTCAAAGTTAGGATCCCTTGTTGGGCCCCTTTTGTAGCACGGCACCTGTTATTTAGGGTACCCCAAAAAGGGGCCCTAATTTTGAAAACCACCCCATATGGCTGCAGGCCATCGTTTGTTGGGGATCCATTGCTCTGGGAGCTATGAATTATTAAACCACCCGAGCGGTCCAGGTACCAACATTTTAGCTACTGAAGAGATAGTTGGGCCCCAAAAAATATGCATAATCGAGGATGAAAGCAAGCTTTACGAAACAAGTTTTGCGAGGCTATGCCATGTCAAGAGCTCTGGAGTCATCAACGTGACTCGTCCGCAGATGTGTTGCTGCAGGAGGATATGGAAGCAGCAAATCGACAGAAGTAAGAACAACAATATATAGGTAAATGCAAAAGAGATCAAGCAAACAAGAAACCTTGCCGCATCATGACTTGCGCAGTAGCCGTTCAGGACTTGGGTTTGGACGAACCACCGTGGAGTGTATGATCTTCTCTTTACCTGGAGCTTGTATAACAGGGATGCATTTATGTGCTTTGCATGAAAGAGTCTTCATTCTTACGGGGTCGTGCTTAATGAAGGCTGAGGGCTTTAGCCTCAAACAGTAGCATTCTGAACCACACCCTCAAATTCTATTCTAGACTCCTTCAGAATTGAGAATTGAGCTTGGGGTGGTAAACTCCAAATAAGCCTGTGAGTGTGTACGGGACTGGCGCATGACTCCTTCAACACCAGGTTGCACCTCACACAATCCCAGAACAACATAAAAGTCCAGCTCCGCAACTTCTACGACAAGCATCCCCAAACCCTAAAGGCTTCAGAATCAATCTCTGAAACGGCAGAGCCTCTGAAAGCCTGCAACAAGAGCCACCCTCACAACCCTAATTCCTGCCAGCTGAACCCTATGTCACTGAGTCCTTAAAGGATCCCTTAAAGGACCCCTTAAGGATCCCTTCAAGGAACCCGTAAAGGATCCCGTAACGCCGTAAAGGATCCCTTATAAGGGTTTGGAGGCCGCCCCGCTCTGGAAAGGGCACCTCCATAGACGCCCAAGGCGGCTGCAACTTCGTCCCCAAACGAGCATACGCTCTCAGGGGTTGGGCTTCAAGAGGGCCATGAGTTCGCCATTGGTTCTGACTGTTTGCGTCTTGTTTAAGCTTCAACACTTCTGTGTTTAAGACTGTCTTGGGGTTCCAATGAGTGCGGGGTCTTCTGGTTTACAATTGTTGTTCAGGATCAAAAGGCTCTGCAACGCTTTACGGCGTGAATGCGAAGTTTTGAAGCGGTGCTCCAAGCTCTTGATTGGGATTTGCCCCTCCAATGTTCAATGACGTGCTTGTGCATAGAGTTCATGCGCTCTTTTGGGGGGTGTGGCTGATATGGGGGTTTCCGAAATCGGGGACCCTAATGTAGTACCACCTTATTCTAAGGACCCCATGGTAAGGTACCCTTTAATGTTCGGAAACTTCCATATCTGAATCCGAAAACAGCTCGCTCTTTATTGGGGCCTTCGGGGTTTCCCGGGACGTAGAGCCCAAGGTTTAGGGTTTCCCAAAACCTTCGGATTATACATATATATATATATATATGTATGTGTATTTTTGTTTTTCTGGTTTAAGGCTTTTGGTGCCTAGGGTTTGGGATTCAAGGTTCAGGGCATTTGTTGCCTCAGTTTAGAGTTGCGAGCTTTGGGGGGTTCGCAGCTTTCGTGTTCACTCTTGCTCAGGGACGGTGGCTTTAGGATAAAGGGTTTCCGAAAATAGGGGACCCTAGTATAGTACCCTAAAAAAGGTGGATCCTCATTATAAGGACCCCAAACTAAGGTACCCTAAATTTTCGGAAACTCCCATATGAGGGGTTGGGTTTAGCTCAGGGTTTCAAGAGCCAAGCAGCTGACGCGAAAGACACTCCGTTACGCAAAGCACTCCTGCAGCCCACGTTTCAAAAGCAAACATCCTTGAATCTCCCAATATATAGAGGCCTTGATTAACAGTTAGAATAGGGTTCAGGGGCCCATTATACTATGAACCCCCAAGAAAGTATAGGTACAGTACCAAAAGTCCCAAAACCTGCACTGTATCTAGGCCGCACAGGCTTCGCTGGCTTGCGCTGCTTTTTGGGGTATGGGTTCAGGGTGCTATCTAACCGCTTCAGAACTCATTTAGCTATAAATAAATACCACAGGTTTACTATATATTTACCTCAAAGTACCCCTTATCGGGTTCGCCCTCGGGGGGGAGAAAGGTAAATGCACACAAAGTGAACCCTGAAAGAAGGTCGGACTCCGTTAGGCGCTTTTTGAAAACACGTACAATCCTGTGCCTTCTCAATGCGACTTTAGCGCTCTGTTCAATTTCAACCCGCCGAAACCCTACAAAATGGCAAGTTATCACCGCCTCAGTAAAGGGTAGAACCCTTAAACTAGTACGCAATTGGAGCCAGAGCAACTGGAATGCTTAGTGAGGAGCTGGAGGACTTGACTTTGAGGCTTCTATAAATCTCTCCCCAAAGATCCTCCTAAACCCTCAACCCCAAACCCTATTCACTGGATCCTCTGCGAGCCATAGAACGCCAGGCTCCAAATGTAAGAACCCTAAAAACATCTGGCCATGGCCTAAGGCACGCAAAGATGCTCTTGGGTGTAGGGTCTCGTGAGATGTAGGCGTTTACGTTTTGCTTTGGGTATATAACCCTGAGGGTCCAAGTACCTAATGGTCATATACTCTTTCAAACCGGAACCTAGGGCTAGCATCGAGAGGCCCCGTCTGCAAGTCGAGAAACAGACTCAGCGTCAGAAACCAGAAGCCCACAACTTATACACCATGGGATGGCCGCACCACGACGCCGCTGGAACCTTGCCCCAGCCTGGTTGTCAAACGGAGGGCTCAGGGGTTTCATGTAGGTGCCGGAACAAACAGAATATGTAGAGTAGGGCTTTGGGGTACGCTGATATGGGAGTTTCCGAAAATGGCGAACCCTAACATAGCACCCTAAAGTAGTAGGATCCTTATTATAAGGGCACCAAAATAAGGTACCCGTAATTTTCGGAAACTCCCATATGGGGATCAAGAAGAGTATGAGAAGGTACTATTGCGAACTACTTGGAGGACCATGGGACTTAGTAAGTAGGGTTATAAGTTCCTTAATTGGGGTTATAAGTAGATATAACTATAGTTACCTTACTTATAGCCCTACTTACTAAGTCCCATGGTCCTCTAACTAATCCGACCTCAACACTGTTGGCTGCGGCTTGTACGATTGTGCCTTTGAGACTGGCGGGGATAAGCCTAAAAAGGAACTGTGGCGGGACGGAAATTGTAGGCAGTTCGCCTCTCTAGTATCCTTGAGTTTCAACTTCCCGTGCCAAAACAAACTCTGGACAAGCTGCTCCTCAAGAAACGAAACAAAAACTGGCTTGAGGGGCCATGATGTCCGATGTGAAGGAGCAGTCAACCTAGACAGACAGATCGAGCTCAGAGGAGGAGCTCTGGGCAAGATCACAATCATCATCCGGCTATTCGACATAACGCCATGAGTTAATCTTTTAAAGCATAACCCCATAATCCTGAATCGTAGCTACAAACCCTAGAGTCTCAAACCTAAACCTGAACAATAGCTTCAAACCCTACGCCCTGCACCCTGAACCGTAACTCCAAACCCTAGACCCAAGAGCCCAAACCCTGAACCGCAACTCCAATACCTACACCCTCTTGCTGAACCGTAACTCCAAACCCTACACCCTACACCCTGAACCGTAACTCCAAGCCCTAAACCCTATAATTAATTGAACCGTAACTCAAAGCCCTCAGTGCTAAAACAGGCAACCGATCCAAAGTCTAAGCGGTTTAGGGTTGTAAGGTCTAGGGTTTAGGGTTTGAAGGTTTAGGGTTTAGGGTTTTAAGGTTTAGGGTTTAGGGTTTTAAGGTTTAGGTGCGTGGGGGATTGATCTCGACTAGGTTGCTGCTCTCCCCACCAGAGCTGTAATGAATGTAGGTGTGGCTGGCTTGCACTCTCCACAGACTGGACCCTGTCTCTCTCACACTTCCACACGTGCAATCCTATGCAGGCAGAACCGGCGGCCGTTCCTTTTGCACTCACTGCCGGCGGCGGTTCGTCTGTGCAACGGGATAGCTCTGATTGCTCAGGATAGAAGACACTTATAGCACTTAGCTATGGGCATTGACTTGAGCCAAACGTTGCGTGGGCGGTCACATAGAAAGGTAAAGACGAGGGACGCGTAGCGTGCCCCCTTAGAGTCGAGGGACGCGTAGCGTGCCCCCTTCTCTTGCACTTTACACGGTCTTGCTCACAGCTCTTATAGTGACACCTTAGAACTTGACAAGGCATCGCAGTCCGTTCGCACCCCCCATGAGCTGCGTCTCCGACGCTGCTCACCCGGAAGATGGCACGATAGGACAACAGAAAATGTTCCGCCGCAACGTTGACATTGAAAACCAGAGCTTTGCATCCCAATTAGAAACGTTGTGACACTCATCTACGTCAGTAACGATCCCCTGAAATGGCAAATGAATCAGGCGTCACCGAAGAAAGAAGCATTCGCGATGGTATTCCATGGGCGAAGCTCAGAGGTCACGAACTGATAGGCGAGGAAGACCAAGCGTTGATTCATCTCCATCTTCGCGTGGTCGCAGGATCGCGGTCCCAGGGCCGGAGGTTTTCCTCTGGATACTGTTCCCTTTGCTTTCCTTTGTCCTTGCCTTTGTTTCGGCCTTTGCCGGCGGTGTAGTCATAGTAGGTGTTGGCGTTCCAGCCTCCATGCTGTTCACCTCCGGTTCTCTCACGCCCTTTTGAAGGTCCCTTGGCCGAAGAAGCGCTTGCACGTTCCTCCGTAGTGACAGGCGTGTCCAGGATGGAAGTACCACCTGGAGGGAGATAGTCAGCGGCCGAAATGTGGTGTAGGGCTTCAGTACGCTTGGTCGTCGGGTTTTGCTGTCTCTCAGCCTTGGATCTGTTCAATCTGTCCATGAAATGCGCAGGCATTTGCACATTGTGGTCCACCAGCAATCCGATGGTCTGGACTGAATGATCGGCATGAGTCAGCAGGATACCGACGGGGTCGATGTACAAGAAGTCCACCGGTCCAGTTGGCGTTGGTCGTAGCACTGAGAATTGTTGGTGTCCTGTCACCATCGGAATCACCTCGCACAGGACGTTCAGGCAACAAAAGTGCATAGCCTTCACATCTTCATCCCTGTTGCTCTTCAAGTACGTAGTAGGGTTGAAGTTGTCCCTGCCAATTCCCATCATGTTGGCTCCCCGCGTAAGCAACGAAAGCATCTGATTCGTCCGGAAGCGCTTCAAAGTGTAAGTCCCGTTGGGATCGTACTGCTTGAGGTTCTCAGGCTCCTTGGCAAAGCGAATGATCTCCTCATCAGTCACATCCCTGCTCACACCCGTCTCTCTGTCCACTACAGCCAAAGATCCCCACTTTCCGAGCACATCATAGCGTTGGCCAAGTGCGAAATTCTCCTTCATCTGAAACAACGGCATAGTAGCCCACTTCGCGAATCCTGACCAAGCCTTGTAGATGGTCCTGCATACCACGAAAGCCATATACGAAAGAGCGACCATGTTGGCGTCAATGCAATGGGCATTTCGCTTCCCTGAGTAGTAGGATGGCTGCATGGCGGTACGTGCGAGTTGTAGCTCAGGATCGATGTTCAAAGACTGGCCGGTATGAAGACGGGACGGCGTTCCTGTGCAACTGCATCTGGTACTGCGTCATCAAAGTCCTCTCCTGGCTCTATGTCCATTTCTTCATCAGGTTCCTGTTCTGGATCGTCCTCCGCGATGACAGATGGTTCTGGGATTTCCTCAGGTTCCGCAACGGTCTCTACCTCCATGGCTTCCTGCTCCTCTTCGGGCGCCTCAGGCACTGCTGCTGCCGCGGCTTCCATTGTCTGAGCAATGAAGTCACTGGGGATCTCCGTAGGAGTCTCCCGTTGTGGAGAACCTTGGTAATATCCGCTAGAAACGAACTGTGACCAGCAAGACGTGCATCGGGAGAAGCATGCTGGAACGATGTTGTAGCATGCCGGGCACACCCTCATTCTCCTTCCATCC